GATCAACATAAACAGACATCGAATGTCAAAACGATTTAATAAAGTTTTCATCTTCAATATTAAAAAAAAAGAAAAAAAATCAAAATAAACATTGAACCAATTATAGAAGAAAATAAAAAAAAATCGTTGAAAAACTTGTTAAAAATGCAAGATAACTAGTTCATTTATTAAATATGAAGTTAAATTGAACGTCAATTATTTCGAATTAATCTAGACAATTCTATAAAATAAAAAAATAAAAACCGATGTTCAATTTTCAATTGAAGAATATAATCAAATTTACTTCTATAAAATGTTTTTTTTGTTTTTATATGATTTACGTAAAATAATATATTTCAAAAAAAAGATTATTTTATTATAAGATGAACTATATGGAAACATTTTATATTTATCTTAATAAATGAATATTAAATATGTTCGTTTATATTCATATATAAACATTTGAATATATATATATATATATATATATATAAGATTTCTTCTGAATAATCTTTCACTTATTTGAATATGACTAGTAACAAATAAATTATTGATTCAATGTTTTTATTGTTATTTGTTAGTTAAGAAATATTTTTCTCTATTTCTTACTGAAGACAAAAAAATTCGAATGACTAACAATAACGGAAATTTGATAAAGTAATCAATGCTAAAACACATATTGATGATTAGAAATAAAGAAAATTATCTAAATAGTAAATCTATCGATATTATAATGCAAATCTAGTCAGTTGATTTCATTATAAATCGTATCTCAATTATCATATTATCTATTGATAAAACATGCAACATTAACAGTTATTTTAAATAAAATTTCAATTTAGATATTGTTATGAATTTTGACGTTTTATCGTAATCGGCTTTTTATTTAAGTAGTTAGTTATATATGTTTGTTTTTGATATAAAAAAAAAAAATAAGCATTACACATATTTATCCCGAGTACCTTGTGTACTTAATTATGTCTTTTTTATCATAAATGTTTCTCTTTCGACGTAATCAAAACCTATTTTAATGATGCAAGAAGTCAAAACGAGACTAAACTCTTAATTATAAATCGAATAAAAAAACCAATCCGGAATATTGAAAAGAGTATATGATCTTTTTTTTCCTTCTTCTTATCAGATTCTTTTTTTCTCTCTCATTATTGTTCTATATATAAAATGAAGTTAACGACTACTACATTATTAAAATGGCATCGTATCAGGATGTTTGTTAGGCGATTTACTAAAGGAAAAAAAAAAGAAGAAATGGACTGATGTGCCACTTTTAATTAGATGAGAATATAAAGAAAATTCCTATAATGAGACAGAGGAAACGACATAGAGAGTGAAAAGTCACTAGTTTTATCTTCACTATAAATATAAATTATTTTAGTGCAATAGGACAAGTAGACATTTATCGAGAACTTTTTAATTAAATATACAAACTTAATTTTATCAACGGTAGGTAACAACTAACTATTAACTCGCAACTAGAACAATACATTATTGTTCTTCAGAATAGACAATAAAGATAAATAAAAGTATTTGTTTGCATGTCAATCAAGTTATTTGTATATTAACGGCGCAGTGTTGAACAAATATAGAGTTTTTTTTTTTTACTTATTTCTATATAGTCACTTGATTCAAATAAGAACGTTGAGGGTTATAAGAGTAATTAATGATAAATATATGTAACTAACGAAATTATTTTAGATATATCTTAAATCTTCAATAAAAAAATGTTCAAAGTACATTGCACACTGATGGTTTTACTCTTTATCGTCGCTATTTTATCTTCAAATAAGGTTCAATGTCGAAATGTTCATGGAGTTCGTATTTTTTTGTTTTAATTTATCATATAATATAAATATAGTTCAATATATATATATATATTGTTAATTATTTTTAGAATATGGAAGGTATGCCATTATCTCAATTTGATTATCTTCGATTTGGATATGGAAATATGATTAATGAGAATAGCAATGAAGATCAAGATGAAAATCCTAAAGAATATATTCATACGAAACGAAAAAGTGAACTATTATCATCTTTATATGGTTTACCATATGCTCTTGTCGGAAAACGAAATACGAAATAAATATTTAATTCAAATCAATATATCGATTATGCATTGAGCACATTTCGTTTTTTTTTCTTGCTCTTTTTATTTATCCGATTTTGTGCATATTTAATAGCTATTTAAAACATCCTCTTTTCAATATATTTAATAAATGAATTCTATCGACAAGAACAAATAAATAATCTATTCTTATTGTCGATACCATTTTGTTAAAGAAATTCGAGCCATTATAATATATATTCATCTTATCATATATAAACTAAGTAGCATAAATAATCTATTTTTTTTACATTTGATAAATACTTTGAGATGCATCATTTGAATAGTTTTGATAATTTATATTCTTGACCAATGTGAATTCGATAACAAAAAGATCTATTTTGTCAAGTATTTGAATAATAAAATAAAAGATAAAAAAGTACATACGATGTAAATAATGATATTCAGAATGACTGAATTGATGATTATCATCATAGATATTTATATTAATAGTTTTGTCATTGATTATATCGTTTTTGCAAAATGAACAGTATGAAACAGATATGATTTTCCTGAAAGTTCCTTTATTAATCATTAACTTATCAAACAAATAAATTGAAGATAAACCTAATATGTCCAATCATTATTTTCACGATCACTTTTATTTCCCATTTCATATTGATTTCCTTGAGATGGAAAACTAGCAATACCATTTGATATTTTTTATATAAAAATTAATCTTTTCGAAGAATTCTTATACTAATGATCTACTTACGAATATTCTCATTAACCCTTTGAGGACCATGGGACATACGTTGTCCCACCTAGTTTTCAATAAAGAAAATGTTTGCTCCATATTAAACTGTTATAATCTTCAAGGTAAATAGGTCGCCTACCTGGCATCTCATGCAGGTCCTTCCTCTCTTTTTTCCTATCATATAGATCCTTCTGAGATGTCTTCCTTTCTTTCTCCTACTATATAATAACGCATGATTTCACCCTCGCTTTTCTCGATACATTGTTATGAGGTTTTTATCTGATCATTTTGAGCCAAATATAACAGGTTGATTGAAGAACCGTTTTTCAATTGAAAAAAAAAATTCAGTCCTCAAATGGTTAAGACTAGCCTTATTTACACTTATATCTAATAGACCACTCGAACTAGATTTATTAGTGAATAACCTATTATCAATAGCATTTATAGATGATGGATAACTAGCTATATTAATAAAACTCAATAGAAATATGAAATAATTAACTATGAATAAAATTTCTTGATGATTCACCCAATCAAGACGAAGAAGATTGACTAATATAAATATTTTGTTTTGTTTTACAATTAAAATGTATAACTGGTAGAAGAACTTGAACGAGTTGTAACATTGATAAATTTAGTGCTCCTTTATGATGAATAATCGATTTAGGTCATATCGTTTTAATATTTGATTAGAATGTTTTTCTAAATGACTGTAGTAATATAAATATTTATTTATCATAATTACCTGAATCTATTTTAGTTAAATCATCATTGTTCGATAAAACTTTCGATAAATAAATACTTTCACAATATGATTTAATTTTTCGAAATTTTAAATATAATATTTTCGAATCATGTTCATATATTTTTATCTTATTTATTCTATCACATAAATCGCCATTTTGGCTCTTTATTATTAATAAAAAATTCAAATTAATAAATAGAATTACAATTATTGAGAATATTCATGTGTTAATAATAAGTGCATCATTTATTTTCAATTTATTTCCGTTCAATCATGTGAAACCACTCGGTTACTATGCGCTTACACGTTCTGACCTCATCAGCGATAATAGATACGTGTTCATTCTCTCCTCTATTCACTCATTTACCTCTTTTCTTAGTGACTCTCTCATATACAAGCGTGTCTTCTATATCAATTAGACATAACTAATGTTATGGAATGGTCTACTGAACGTCTATACTGAGAATGGTGGTAAGCGAGACTTTAATTTCACTTCAATCTGAATTTCCGATGAGCTTTCGAACTCGGCCAAAATTCATCTCATTAGCTTCTCTATAAGCTCGAAATCCTATGAAAATTTGATAGAACCCGTCGTACTTAATGGTATGCATTTTCATTAAAACGTCATGCTCAGCAGGATGAGATAATGCTTAGCAGAACGTCATAGCCATCAGGAAGATGACATAATACTCAGCAAGATAATTATAGTAGTCAGCAGTTCATTTTCATCAAAAAGTACTTCGTAGCAACACCTATTGAAATAAAACCACAGTTCTAGAGTTCCGTTTAGCAAGATGATCTCGAAAAATTGATCAGTTAAAAGTCGACCAGAAAATCATCACTCGCTAGTCCTATTGATTACTTCGCTTTTAACTTAGTACTCATTGCATAAAATTAATAATTATCTGAAAAGACTCGACTACTTCGAAATAAGATCAATGCAGTCTATTCAACACTAGATCGTTCTACTAATCACTACATTTTTATGAAAATACGTGACATCAAGTGCTAAGAGTTGCATCAACTTTTCATAAGTTTTCGAGTTCTTTAGTAAAATTAATTATAGAAATTTGGGTCAAGACCAAGAATTCAATTCAAAATTCATGGAACTGAGCGATAACGCTACTCGTCCAATTCATCAATGTTTATCATACTAAAAAAGAAAAACACAAAACAATAGTAACAAAATAGAAAATAATCTTATCTCAATAAATGCTCCTATAAAACTAATAACAAATAAATTAATATTGACAAGGAAACACGGCTATTTCATGTATATATGCATATTATTGAGATCATAGGATAATATATAATATACGTATATGCTAACGTTTTTCTTCAACAACAAAATAAAACGAAATAATATTTTAAATTTGATTGATCCTATAGAAGGGGAAAAAATACGAATTATCAATGTTGTAAAAGATGAATAAAAATATAGATACAAGTATGTTTAATTAAGATATTTTAAAAAGTTGTTCATATGATGATAAGGCACTACGAAATGATAAAAAATCTTCATCATTTATATCTGTTCGTTGTCGGCTATTATTTAATGATAATGATGCAAGTTGAACAAATTTATTTAGTTGTTCCATACGTTGTTCAATTGAAAAAATAAGACGATTTATAAGAGAACGACATGCTGGAATTTGTGCTATTTTTAATAACAATGAAAGAGTTTCTATTGTAGATAACAATGTTGAATATCTACTCAAAAAACAACAACATCATTTTATAGAATTTTGTTTTTTGTTATACCGTGCTTCAAGTAATTCAGCATCACGTGGAATATGTTCAGTAGTTCGAAGTATATAATCAGTTTTGATTTTTAATTTATCTAATTGACGTGTAAATTCATTGAGTAAATATCCATTTTCATTAAATTGTGTTACAACATGATTCATTTTACTTAAATCAAATAAACGTGAATGAAGATTATTTGAATCATCGACTATTTCACGATCACAACATAATCTATTTAAAAATATATATTTATTATTAATTTATATATAAATATATATGTGTATATAAAATGAAGATAAAGTGTAAAAAAAAAAAATGTTCACCTGACTAATTGTGTTGTTTGTTGAATATCATCTGAATAATCTTCATTATAATGTTCAACAATAGAATCAAATTGTGTTGGTATTATTGTTGATGATAGATTTCGATTGATAATTGATGAATTAAAATCATCTAAATCAGTTTGTTCTATAGTATCACCGTCAATCAACTTCTTCTCATTATCATCATGTGATGGATCAATTTTAATAATACACGAACTTTCTATACAAGATTTATCATATTCATTTGACATATTATTACTTTCCGATACTAAATAAGATTCATCTTTAGTATTGATATGATTTTGTGTTTCAATTGTTCTATTAAGAATATTCGAATTTTCATCGACTTTTACTATATGTTTATTATGTGTATTATCATTTGAATTAACTTTCTGTAAACTATAATAAATAAAATAAATATTCAAATTAATTATATATTATAAACATAATCAATAATATAAATGTGCTTAAAAAAAAAAGATTCTCTATGTGATAATGATTGACTCACATTGATTGTTGATTAATGGGTTTTTTTGCTTTTTTATTGTGTTTAACAACAGAAAAACAACTTCGCCATGACCAACGGTGTCGATTAGTGTTCATATCACTCATTATTTAATTAGTAAGAAAAAAACAAAAACAAGTTCTATAAGAATAAATATAAATATGTCTGCTTTACAATAAATCACTATTCGATTGTGTCAATAATGAGTAGTAAGTTGTTTCTTGTAATGCAACTATCGTCGTTCTTATTGAAAGAAAGAGAAATGGAGTGAATGATGGAATAGAAAGCAAAGAACAAAATAAAAATAAAAGTAAAATAAAAATAAAAAAAAGAGAAAAAGAAGAAAAATATTAACGAACAACAAAGAAACGATGACAACATGATCCAATCTGTAGCAGGAACAGAAACGACTGATTAATTTAATCGAATAGAGTTCCGACGACGTCAACTATCGTCATCATTTTCTGGTTCACATTCATTCTTATTTGCGTTTTTTTTTTTTGCTACGTCAATTGTAAATGCCAAAAGCAAGAAAAATAATAATAGATTATATAAATCATTATACATTCGGTACTTATTCGACTTTTTTTTTTGTATTTATTCTATTCAATCAAATCCTCAAAAAATCTATCATTTATATTATTCACTCGTCAAATGAATCTTTTTTTTTTTCTCATTTATAGTTTAGTTAAGTAGGATTTATTTAAAAGAATAAATAAAAATATTCATTGAACTTATTTGATTAATATGGATTTAGTTAAAAATAATTCAAGTAAAGATACCTGTCATTACTTGTTTGATGTTAACACACTTATATTATAATTATCTTCGTCTTGTTTATAAACACTGAATAAGTTATATGTTGATGAAGAATAATATTATATTATAATTATACATTAGGACAGCAACATAACTAGAAATAATATTCAAGCTATTATTATTATTATTCTTTCATGAATCATCTTTGTTTTTTTTTCCACGCTAATTAAATATCAATATGAATGTAACTACTATTTTTCATTTGACGATATTTACTTTTTAATAATATTATATATCTTTTTGATTTATTTGCATTATTCATTCTCTATATTTAAGCATTTTTTAATATTATCATTCTCTTTTCTTGTTCATAAAAATAATATATGTAATTTGTCTTTCTTTTCTCTATTATCTTTGACGTCGTTATTTTAAACGACAAACGAATATTGCATGTTGTATGAAACATAATAAAAAAAAACGATCGAATAGCTCGAAATCCTTCAATTTATTGTTTTAGTAGAGTATAAGAGCAAACATATGCACGAGTACACCGTCTATACTTATACCACATTGAATTTATTTTCATATTCAATATTGAAGAACAAAGGTTGATTGGATTAATATATAAGAATGTATTTCAAATGATATATAATATGTCTCAATCGATATATTTATCAACTAAACCGAATAAATTATAGATGAGTATATATATTCTATAACTAGATTTGTGTGTCATTAAACATATGTCATTCATAATAATATTATGTTAATTATAGTCACTAATTATAATCAACATCTTTGATCGATTATCACATTGGATTACTTCTTTTTTTTTTCTCTCAATAAAACAAATCAATTATTATTCGTGAGATGATCAATAGAAAAGAGAAACGAGAAAATTAACACAATATATTAGTTTATAATTTTGATTGTTCTTTGAAGAGTGTAGATAATTTTTGTGCTAACATAACATTGCCTTTAATTTTGAGTTTTCCTTTAGCAAAAAGCTTGAAAAAAAATAAATAAATATAATAATTGTAATAGTGAATAAATGTTAAATACATACAACAGGTGCATTCACTTTTCCTAAAGCTAAATCAAAAAAATCATTATCATCAACTGTTATTGTTACTTGAGCTGTAGTATCATCATTTGGTTTTCCTTCATAAATAATACCTTGTTTACCATCAATAGCTAAAAATATTTTCAATTATTATATTATTTTATTATTTAAGAAAAAACAAAACTTACTCCAACTTTTTTCAAATTTTCCATCTTTAGTTATATCAAATAAAACAATAGCACCTATTTTTTTAACAAGAACGGGTTGATTTTTAGCACGTTTATTTATTTCATCAAAAGCAGTTTGAGCTTTTAGTTCTACTGATGATGATGCAGATTTTTCATCCTAAATAATCAAAATAAAAATAAGACAAATTATTATTTAAATAATTTACTATTTGTGACATTTTTCCTTTGACTAATAAAAATGTTTAGTTTTATTTAATTATATGTCCATGTAACTATATTCAGGTTTTGTTTTCTTTTTTCACCTTTTTCTTTCATCTGTCAATGGTCGGTTTCAGTATTGAATAGAGGACGCTCAAACTCGAGCATTTATTGATACCAAAACTGTTTTAATCTATTCATTAGATCTTATTAGAATTAATATATTATCTATTTGGATATTCTATTAGTTTTTTTTAAAATCAAATCTTTAAATGTAGTTCGAACCTTTCACTAAACGAATGAAATTTTCTAGAAAATAAAATTAAAGGAGAGATACGAAATTGTTTCGTCTTTATTTCGAAGTAAATCAAATGGAACGAAATTATAGTCAATACTTATAAGAAACTGAAAAAAATGTATTCGAGTAGAACTTCGAGATGAAATATATTTCTATAGTTTTTTTTTAACGAGAATTTATCCTTCTTGTGCCATAGAACTAAATTTTTATTGATAAAAACAAAATCATAAATCGGATTTGTAAGGTCAATGATACTCATTCATCGTGGAATATGAAATAAATTATCAAGTACTCTTGTCAACATCATTCAATATAGAGCAAGTACAATTTTTTTTTATTTTGATTTCATTCTCCCTAAGACAAGAATATATTCATTTTCTTTTATTAAAATTTTTGAGTTCATCCAGAAATCTTTTCCATAAAAAAAGTCTTCAGTCACCAAGAATCAATTAAATAACCGACATTTAAATAGTTAACTATCTTTAAGCGAGTGATCAGTTTAATGGATACAATTAGCAAGTTATTAACTACAACATACATTAATAAAAAAATTGAGATTCTTTCAATTGTAAAAAAAATTTTATTCGTATACATAAAAAAAAACAAAACGAACACTGAATAAATAATAAGGTATTAAAAATAACATTGATTAAAAATGCAAGGAGAAAACAAATAAGAGCCAAAAAACAAACATTGAATAATTTTCTCATGAAACATGATGTAACCAGCGATCGTCTACTACCTCTATTTTTCAACTATTTTTATTCTATTTCATACTCATGCTCATTTTCACTATTTAATATCAATAAACATCTCAAGTTCATCTCTGCATTTATTTATGCTTCTAAAACAACAGATCAACTCTTCTATTTTCATTATATTCGTTCTTATTTCATGAATAGTTACCAATTTATTTATTGTAAATCTTCCCAAGTGAATACTTTTTCGAACGATTAGTATCGGTATTAACTAAAGATTCGGAGCTGTTTTATATAATAACGGGTGCTGCAGAAGAAATTGCCGGTTTTTGATGGACTGTTTTAGTCAAGTTAGACTTAACCAAAAAGTTTAGTTCTAAAATTAAAGGATAGTCTTTTAAAATAGCTTTTGGCATTTCTTTGTCGCATCAAAATTACTGGGTGCCACAAAAAACGTTAGCTGCTCAGCACTTCATTGGAATAAAATGCCATTTATATTTGTTAAATAGTGTTTTATATACTATTCAAATACGCTATAAAAAGGAGAGAATCGCATTTAGTTTTTAGACACAAAACCAAATTTTTGCGCGAATCTTTACTATTTAAAAAACGACACACAAAATATGCCTAATTATCAATTAATGGCCTATTTTTATGCCACAAGAAAAATTTCAACTTCGTTATTCGGTTGGAGAAAGAGGTCAACTCTAATAAAGAAGTAGACTTTGTAGAGCTCAAAATTCTGCGTCTGTTTATATAAAAAGGATTATTATTCTAGGACCGACTTTCGAAAAAATTGCTGAAGAAAAATTCGATTCCATGGATCGCGGATGTATTCTCAATGTTTTGTAGTTTTCAAGGGAGAGGCAACTAAGCGTATCAAAACAAACACACCACTATATGCACCAAATAATTCTACATCGGGCACTACAAGAAAGAGAACTTTGAACTCAATCTAACTTGGTAAAAACTGATTTTTAAGTGTTTCTGATTTTGTCGTTGAGCAGTTGACGTCTTTATGATATTCAGTAATTTCGATACTGCAGAGAAATGGAAAATGCTCATTTAAAAAGGAATATATCAATAAATTCTACACAAGATTCTCTACATTTTAGGATCTGAAGAAAACTTTCAGATCGAGTCTTATTTGAGAAAACAGCATATCAATAGCCGACAATTTTCTCTGCCGCACCCGTTATTTAGCTACTTTTTTTTTGAATATACCTCAAGATGAATGTGGGTGTGTGAGTGTAGGTATGATCTTCTGATTACATAGGCCTACATCCACACCCCACAACTATTCAATAAAAACAAATGACATTTAAACGATTTACAGGTGAGAAAGTAGTATTTAAATTTTTAAGTTTGATTGAAACAAGTTTTAGTTTCTGATGATTAGTATGTCTTTTGTATTTCTTGTAAAAATCATTGAATTTACATTGCTAAACGTCGACCATAGGTATCAGCAATTGCTTGAAAATTTTCCTTATCTTGTTGTTATGTAACATTCATAATAGGCTTTCTATTCTGATGATTGTTTTGAAAGATAAAAATAAAATGAAGGTCTTTGTTTTTTCTAATGATAACTGACAAAAAAGAGTTTTATTTTTTATTTTTGAAAAGAAATTTTTAGTAAAATATGATGTCCAATGCATTCTGCCGTAGATTCTTACTTGATATACGAAAAGCTATTAGCACAATCTATGTGAAATTAAAATATGAAAGAAGGTCTAGCTTTGGCCGCTAATCACACAAAAATTGTTTTATTTGATAGGACAAATTCTTATCATTATTTATGGAATGCTTTCGAGGTGTGCAATAAGGTAGTTGATAGATTGCAACAAGATCTTAGTAGTTTAGGATCTATGATAAGGTCTAGAGGTAATCTGTCAAAGTCTGTAATGGTGTCCAGAGCTCGTCTGCCACGATTTGGAATGGTCAATTAATTAAGTGGATAGTAATAAATCAATCAATTAATTAAAACGTCTGGAACGATTTGTGGGGAAAGAAGAAGTAAGTTCGAATTTTAACCTCTACACTTCAACACTTCTTTTAGATCGTGTTTCATAAAATGGCCTAGCGTTGTCTCATTCTGAATGTTTCAGTTTTCCTATCATTGCGTGAGACAGCTTTTAATCCATCAAGTGAGAATCTACGGTCAAAATTAAGACGACCAATGATTAGATTCGATCTATTGCACTCTCGTACATATACAATTTCGGTGTCTCGAATGTGATTTTCGGTAAGACAAATCGATTGATTTTATCTAATGTAAAGCATCATAGGGAAGAACGCTTTATATCATTAGAATCAGATCGTCGAGCTCTATAAATTGGTATATATCTGGTTCAAAGCAGTGTGTTGCACTTTAATACCTTTCATCGTAAGAGAAGAAGAGAATTTTGATAAAGTGTATGGATGAATAGATGACCATCATGCTCATACCCTCCAGATTCTTAGCAAATATTGTTATCGTTGTTGTGAAGGGATATTTTGTTTTTGTCGAACGATGAAACATTGCGTACTTTTCGGAGTGTTACCTCATAAACTGTCCATTCAGAGTACGACTTATTTTGACAGTGGGAAAAGTTTACTATGATCAAAATCTGTCTCGTGGTAGGACTTGTAATAGTGTTCAGTTGGCACGATTTCAATCAATTGACTCAAAAGCCTGTAATATCTCTTTAGAAAACTAAATGGAAATGAACGCTTACGAACTGCCAGACAAAGCTTCAGAAGACAAAGCATTTCATACACTAATTTGCGAGTATTTATTGAGCTACAGATTATGTTCTTGTTCAAGTCAAAATGATCTTAGATTGAACTTCAATTGACTCATGACCCACCATCATTACAGGCCAATGGATAATGCTTGCAAGAGTTAAAGTAGTCCTACAAGTTCTTCTTTCAATCCTTGAGTACGTATCTATTTATTTTTTATCGTAACAGATTTTTGTATTCAATTTAACATATGATCATAAACACTTTTTTATGAAATATTTTACGAATTACACAATGAACTAATTATTTCTAATATGAATTGCATTTCGACGTGAATAATATTTTTTTCTCAATGTTCATTCATCAATTAAAACGTTCTCTGAAATCGAACAAAAATGAGCAAGATTTTTCGCTGTATTGAAATTATATGTTGATTCTGATTTTCTCGTCATCAGAGCACATTAAGTGCATCTTAAAAATAATTTATATAAAGTTATCGCTTCAGTTCGACTCTCTAATGCTTTATTTAAAATTCTATTGTTGGTCTTCTTGTCTAATGATCAACAGAAATAATTTTATTTTACAATCATCTCAGGTCGACGATTACAGACTTTGTATAAGACTGCAAATGAACTTAAACTGTCGTATTTTAGCGTTTTACATGGTCCAGTATTACAGTCGTATATCGTCGTGACCGTATACGAATATATACGATCGTATAAGGAGAAGTACGGAACAAAATGGAGATCATATACGGACTCTGTATACGAGCACCGTAAACAATCTTTTTTTCTACGTATATCACCGTATTTCTTCGCAAACGACACGAAGATACACGATTGTAAGATTGGACTATGTATTTTGCGGGTGTGGGTGTAGGTGTAGCCATAGCCATAGCCACATTCACACACACCCCACACATACACCCTCTCTTTAGCTATTTCAAGTCTACTATTGACCTGTGTTACGGTATATTAGCCGGAGTTCAGATTACTTAAGTTGACCTCACCATAAAGCCGAAATACTTCACGGTACTTCAGAATTGGAAGTACCGTGAAGTATTTCGGTTTTTTGTCAGATAGACTTACGTAGACTGAACTCCGACTGATATACCGTAACACAGGTCGATAGTAGACTTGGAATAGCTAAAGAGATCTGATGCACAGTTATCACATAGTCTGAAAGTACAGGAAGTACGCTGCAGTACGGCATTTTCGCTCCTTCCCCCTTAGTTTCAAGTGAGAAAAAGCAGAGTTTTGATTTATCACATAGAGAAGTTTTATTTCAACATATTTAAAAAAGT